ACTTATGTTTGGGAGACAGCTGCCTGGATTTTTTGCAGGTTTGCCGCATCTTACAAGAGGCCATGTAGGGAGGTCTGTAACTTGTGTTTGGCTTATTCGATAGGTACAGCGGTGCTCAAGAACGTTGTCGAGACGGATGAGAATCTGAGGGACATTGAAGCAAAATTCCAGAAGATCACGTTGTGATTGAATTGTTAAGAATAATTAATTGTGTGTGTGCGATTTTAAGTTGCCGATTGACATAGGTATGTTGACCTACTGCGAGGCCAGTAACGGAATTCCGGCTCCTCAACCAGACTGTTTCAGTTGTTGCGTTTCGTATAAGAAGCCGGCTTCCTGTTTCTCTCCACTCATTACGTCTTTTGTGATTTAACTGGCCACCCTGTTCTGGACAACTCGTTACCGTGTTATAATGTCATGCAATAAAATGCAAATTAATGACTTTAAAAAAAAAATACAATGTGATTTTTCTGGATTTTTGTTTTAGATTCCGTCACTCACAGTTGAAGTGTACCTATGATAAAAATTACAGACCTCTACATGCTTTGTAAGTGGGAAAACCTGCAAAATCGGCAGTGTATCAAATACTTGTTCTCCCCACTGTACATAAGTGAAACCCTGTTTTTCAAGGTTTTGGTGTTAATAATTACTCTAATGAATAGCTGCTGAATCTGCTCATTCTTAAAGCTGACCAAAGTTCCTGCTTTACGCTGACGACCCCAAATCTACTGCCTGTGCATCAGTCTTCAGCAGTTAGTGTTTGCTTCCTTGTATCTACTTGGTCATATTGATCTCTAAGTTTAGGTGTTTTTTTTTAGGCACCGTGATTTATTAGAAGCAACAATATATTAAAGGCAGGCCTAGTATAGAAAGCTAATTAAAGTGTATTCCGGTAGAAGAGGAGCGATGGCGAATCTGTCTTCAGACAAAGGGACCATCAACAACCCAGCAGACATCGCCATCATTGTTGGATATTTCATCATGGTTATTAGTGTCGGCATTTGGGTGAGTGGACCTGCGAGAGTCTGATTATCAGGAGATTATAATGGCTGAATAAAGAATGGGGAGGAGGACATTGCATTTAGTTTGTGAAAATTACACAATTGTCCTGTCTGTGTTTCAGTCCATGTTTCGGACCAACCGTGGGACAGTTGGAGGGTATTTCCTGGCAGGGCGCACAATGACATGGTGGCCGGTGAGTTCAATGCAGAGCTGGACCAATAAATATATAACATGATATTTCCTGACTAGTATCGGCCTGGTATGTTCTAGGTTATCAAGAAACTTTGTTACCATTTTATAGTTTGTCCACCAGATGGTGCACGTTTTTTTTACACTGTAAAATGTCCTGCTCAGTGCTTTAAAGATCCCCTCCAGACATGTATTAAGATAATAAACAATAGTCTGGAACAATGATATGTGTCT